GAAAGAAAGAAAGAAAGAAAGAAAGAAAGAAAGAAAGAAAGAAAGAAAGAAAAGAAAAACAGCAAGAATCAGTTTTCCTTAAGGCTGCAGTCCTTTCTGAGAAATATACCCCACTAGCTTCCATAATATGTATTTCTGGATTTTCACCTTGTAAGATTCCAGAGGTTACACAAATACTGGAAGTATTTTCAGAGAAATTATACTTCATTTCCATTACAGATAAATGTTGGATAGGTACATGTGGAATTACAAAGGTAGAACAAACAGCATTTATGTACCTGGGTTTTGTCAGAATCTTAACCATTAAGAAACTAAGGTTGTACTTGTGAATAACATGGTTAGTATGATATGTAAGAAAACCAATCAAATGAGTACAAATTGTTCAGAATAATTGTTTGATTACAAAAACAATTATAATTCTCATAATGGATGATCTCCAGCCCAATCCAGAGCATTATAATGAACTAGAAATGATTTAAAATGTATACTCACTTCAACCAAACTAGTGTAGTCTATTCATGCAATAATTGTTTATTCTTTACAAGGAACAGATCTGGAAGATGCAACAGACAGTATGAGACACCAGATGATGCTGTTTCACAGTATATGAATAAAGCCTAACTTCTGTCTGTGGTCTTTTGCATTGACTCTGCCAATCAAAAGGAACCTATTTGTATTCTGAAGCCTTCCTGGTTAATTTGTGTGAAAAGGTTTAATGGAAGTAATTCTTTTCTGTGGACTTCTCTTTATAAGGAAAGTCTTGCCTTCTTCATCAAGTTAGTGGAACAGTGAAATTACATTGCAGCTGAACTTCCAGGCTATGGTATCACTTTCTAACAGCACATAGGTCATATTGAATTTTTAACCTTTGACAAAATCCACCCATAATCATTATAATCACCCATAGTACAGCCCACATTGTTTTCATTCAGATTCTCCCTTCATTTCAAAACAAAACATGTTTTAAAAAATGCAATGATTATTAATAGAAGAGAATATTTGTACAGTAGCTCAGAATTAAACCATGGGGTTCTTGGAGCTCTCTCAGCTTGGTTGTTTTCCTGCAGACATTTCATTATCCATCTGGGTAATATTATCAGTGCAAAAAAACAACAACCAGGCTCAGAGACCATCAAGAACCTCACAATGCAAAGATTTGCTGAACAGAGCAGGATCTTTTCTTCAATATCTGTCTAAATCAAGGACAATATCTGTTCCCCAAGGACAGCTCCTAGCATTGTCAGTTAAAAGATTTTGAATCTTCTCTTAATGAATTGATGGAGAACTTGCTAGTCATCAAGATAGTAAGTTTCCTATTGAATCAATTTACTTGATGATTAATTCTGGGAAAAGAAAGTGGCAGAACATTATGGACCATGGCAATATTCTAAATTGATTAAATCCAAAGATGTTGCATTAAAAAGTTCCAACTTTATTATTATTACATCATCATCATCATCATCATCATCATCATCATCATTATTATTATTATTATTATTATTATTATTATTATCCAAAAGCATATGATCAATAATGATTTGCTTCTTCTCCTTCCCAGAAAGCCTGAGATAGTCTTTGA